ATGTATCTTTTCAAAACCAATCAAAAAAATCAGCTTCAATTTGCAAGCTTAAAAAACCAATTTACTCAAAAAAAAGAACCTAAACCTAATCCTACAACAAAAAAAAAGGCTGAACCATAAAACTCGACACAAAAACCAATAAAACGCGCGGAAATCACTCTTATCCGCGCCGAGGCAATCTTCAAATGAACGACGAGCCGACCGGCCGCTCAAAATAGTCATTCCGCGAAAGAAAAACGAGCAAAAAAGCGTAGGAAAAAGAGCAGCAGGAGGCCCCCCCAAAAATAGCCGATCGCTTCCCTTTTCCGAGGCCGCCGATTAGTCGCCAAATGTTTTTCAGAAGGGGGAAAAGCCGTGTTTCTGTTTGATTTCTTGTGTGTGTTTTGTGTTAAGGGGGTGATTAAAGTGATTTGAAAAGCTCGAGAAGACCTAGGAATTTTGAGAAAATCCTTAAAAACTCATGGAATGGCCCCGAGATCTCACAATTGGCTAAATAGGAGATTTCTGTTCGACTTTTTTTTTTGTGCTAAGGGGGGATTAAAATGATCTGAAAAGCCCGAAAAGACCTGGAAACTTTTGGAAACTTACTAAAAAGTCATAAAAGTGCATAGAGATCTGGCCAAATTGATTTGATTTTGTTAATTTAGCTCAGATTTGGCCAAATAAAAGCTTTCTGTTGGATTCATCGTGTTTTTATTTTGTGTTAAGGAGATGATCAAACGTCGAGAAGCAAAAAAACATCTACAAATCTTGAAGAGCCTTGAAAACTCATGAAAATTTCTCAAGATCTTACAAAAAAGCAGAGAAAATCATCATTGGCTAAATGAAAGCTAGAACTTTTCTGAGAAGCTCAAAAATGAAAACCTTTTTTCCCTTTTCGAACAATGAGCTTGGAGGGATCGTTTGGATTGGATGTGGAAATTTTCTCAAAGTTTTAGAAAATACGACGAGAGCTCAAAAATCTGATAAAAGCCTGGTTGAATCTCAAAAAGTTCTAAAGTGAAGTAGAACAGCTCAAGCTGACTCAAGATCAAGTCCTCTACAAGGTAATACTCATGAGAACTGAAAACCACCGTAAACAAGCTGAATTATGTGGTTTTGGTTCCATTCAAAAATTCCGATTGGTAGAATTTTTGGATGACGCTTGGAACTATAGGTACAAAGTTTACGGAACCCATTTTCCTCTCCAATCAATGAGCCTTGGGAGGGATTGTTTGGATTGAATGTACATGTGTGAGTGAGTCTGTTGTGTATATTATTATTGGCGGTCTTTTCCATGTGTCCACAACGCGCCCAAAAAGCTTCGAATTACAAATGGAGCGCCGCGTTTTTTTTTCTTTCTCGTTTTTTCTCAACCTATGCATATATCTACGCACACAACCGTACATTTGAATGTGAATTTGGACAAGATGGCGAAGAAAAACGAAGAAGAAGTGTTTTGTTTGTGTTTGTCATCTATATGTACGTTTCTGGGACGTTCCCTTTTCCTTCCAGCCTTTTTTTCCGACTAGTATTGTAGCTTTTCTTTTTATGAATCTGAAAACCAAAAAAAGTTGAAAATTGAGAGCATCTAGATCATATCGAAAGCAATCAAAAATCAAAAAAGCCTTCAAATCTAGTTGTCTTACCATTTCTTGTGGTCAAAAAAAGTTCTCGACGTAAAAAATAAATTTCAACATTTTTTAGATCTCAAAATCAATGATAAGGATTGTGAAAAGGTGGATCCGGCGCAGAAAAACTCCTTCAAAGTTTAAAGGAGCAGCGAAAAAAAGGTCTCGAGGCGAAAGTTGTTTTTTTGTGTTCTGTTAGACTTCTGCGCCTTTAATAAGACTTGAAGAAGCTTTTTGAATCGACCATCTTTCAAAAACGGAAGAAACGGTAAATTGGAAAAATTTTTAAAATGTACTACTAAAATTCAAAAGTTCAACCTATACATTTTTTACCTTAAAAAACGACAAAAACTCAGAAAACCCAAAAAACCTGTGAAAAATCCAAAAATCTTGAGAAAAACGACAAGGAAAGAAGAAGGTCACCGCCAAAATTGAACAATCACTCTTCTTCTTTCCCACAATGCTAGAGGTGACCCTGGCCGTCTTTTTTCTCTCCCTTTTTTTTGGCGCCAAATGAATGTGAAACGATATGAGACGTTTTCCCGCAATGGATCGGAGAAGAATAGAAGAGAAAAAAAAGCGAACGGGATATATGTGAAATGGGTTCTGCTGAATTGACGATGGGAACGCCCTTACGTCGAGAAAAAAAAGACAGGAAAAGGCGAAAATTAAAATGAAAACCGATTTTCTTGCTACTAGCAATACAAGAAAGAGCTCTTTAATTTACGTATTTTTCTTTGATCAGAAAAAAAGTTATGACCGCAATTGGAATGGCTATTCTGAGCCGCAGCGCGACCGCGACGCTTTGAGCCATTCCAATTTCGACCAACTATGAACGAAAACTAGCTAGATGTTCTCTTTTCAAATGAAGAAAGGAAAAAAGGGCCTTGGACGCACTTGGAATGGCTCGACGGCTTCGGAGCGGTCGATTCGAGACGCACCCGACCTGAAACGACTTACGCGGGGAGGTCTACTGTCTAACCGTGAAGCCATTCCAGATGCCACCAATGTGATAGAATGAACTACTCCAACAATTTTAATTGAAATTTTTCAAAGTTAGATGTGCAGGTTTCCCTTACAGTATCCCTCCTTTTTTTTTAACAAATCAAAAAATCACCAAATTCCCTACATATCTCTTTGCATGATTCAAAGTTAACCTTGGACAAACCCGACCGCAATTTCAAAATGCATGAATCGAAAATGAAGGCGAGTGACCGTTTGACGGACAGATGGCTGGGGACCACGCCTTGGAAAGTTTATAGAGGTCATTCCGAAGTTTCGGAAGCCTTTTCGGAGATTCGGTGATATATGAAAACATAAAACAAAAAAGTATAGATGTATCAGAGAATACCAACTTTTTGAAACCCTAGTATTATGAAAACAGGAAAGTAATGTTCGAAATTGAAAACTACTGGTCACATGGGGAATGTCTCAAGGCTTTGCGGTCGCGCTGCGGTTCGAGTCAAAACTCCAAATTTTAAATATATAAATGCGCGAAAGTCGTTTTGTGGTCGGGTGCAGCTTGCAATAAACGCTTTTTCAGCCATTCCAAATGCGTCCAGGCAAGGTAGAACCATTCTTTGGGTCGAAATCTTCTAGACCTTCCCATTTTTGAAGATTTTGATGACAGAATATCATCGAAACTATGGAAGTATCCTTTGAAACTGAGGGAAAAAAATTCTAGGAAATTTTTGAAGATCATTTGATAGCTCAGGTTCTACAGGAAAAAAATTTATCAAAAAGTAAAAAAATATAGGAAAAATTTCGAAGCAAGCTAAAATAATCTTTAGAAAGAATTTACGCCTTCAAAGCTTGGAAAAGGACACACAACTCTTCAGAAAAATATTTTTTTCAGTACTTTTAAATATTCATTCGGATCAAAAAGGTCCCTTCAAAAAAATACTCTTTGAAAAAAACCCTTTAAAAATATCCTCTATCCAAAAAGGACTTGATTTCAAACATATTCACCTAAAAATCATACCATGAAAAAGTCGGGCAACTCAATAAAAACTATCAAAAACGTTCGGGAAAAAACGGAAAGAGGTAGTAGATACTCATTGACTGAGTGACAGGGGCCAGATTCGCGTAATTATGTTCCGCCCTTGCCCAACCACATCGCCACCATAATGATCTCTTTGTGTGGGAGTTTCGGTTCCCAAAGGTCGTTCCTCCAATAATCTTTCAGGCAGGCAAAAGTTATTCTTTTGGGATTCATTCAAGTTCGAAATAGAATAAGAAACTTTGGAGAAAATGCCAAGTTCAATTTTTTCGAAAAAGTAGTCATTTTTGAAGATCTCGATCATCTTGCCGAAACTTGAGTCATTTAGGAGCTCTCGTAATGATCGAGGCTTCGTTTTAAATTCGCAACCGACCAAAAACGACTTGCGCTTCACCCAATAATCTTTCAGCCGAAAAATGTATTCTTCATGGCTTTTCAAACTTCAAAATAGAATAGGAAAGCTTAGAAAAAGTGCCGAACTTTACTTTTTTCGAGAAAAAATACATCGGCAAGTATTTCCATTCAGTTAAAAAAATCGAAAAAATCGTTAAAATTGTGCACCCGACCATTAATTTGAGTAATAAAAATCAATTATGCAAGAAATTATTCATACTGTTTTTCAGTCAATCGAAAGTCTAGACGGAACAAAAAAATAGGAAGTTTTGGATAAAAAAAGTGTTCCAAAACAGGAAGTTAAGCTACAAATTTGAAAAATCTACAACTTTCGGTAGCTTTGTAGTATTGGCTACTAATACACTACGAGAAAAAATCGATTCAAACGAATTTTTACTTTGAAAAAGTATCCAAAAAAAAATTCAAAAATGGCTGAAAAATCGAGCTTTCCTACACATTCTTCACTGAAAAATAAATAAAAACCGTGTTTCTTCAAACAAAAACTTTTGAATCACACCTATAGAAAGAGAAAAAAGCGAAAATGAAACACGAAAAAGTAAAAAAAGGAGAGACGAAAACGAAGTTTTCTCCTCGAAACTCCTCGAGCCCCCCTACTCGAAAAGGACAAAGTTGTAAAGCTCAATCAGGCGAGAGAAACGTCGCCTTTTTTTCGTCTTTTCTCTCATTGGAGACGTGAAAAGTGGGAAAAGTGTGAATATAGTGAAGTTATGAAGAAAAAAAATGTAGACCTTGTAAGAGAAAAATCTTCTTTCCAAAAATGAGGATTGATAGCAAATCAGCAACTTTTTAATGTTTCGATCTCATTATTCGATAAAAGAAAGCTTCAGGAAAAAAAATGTTTTTTTTTTAATGCTTTAATGCGTCGCGGTCGCGCTGCGGTTCACAGGAAGCCATTCCAAATGCGACCATTACAGAAAAATTGATCGATGGAAAAAAACATCAACCCATCTTTGAGTACGAATAGGACCCTATAGACTTTAGAATGCTCCATTAGTCTTCTGAGGCCACATTTGGAACGGTTCCGTTGCGTCGCGGTCGCGCTGCGGACAAAGATAGTCATTCCAAACGCAACCATGACACGTAGTCCGACTGGACCTAAAAGTTTGTTTGAAAGAAAAACTTCCATAAGGATCCAAATGAACCAGGAAAAACTCGTATTTCTATGGTCGCATTTGGAATGGTTCCAATGCGTCGCGGTCGCATTGCGGTCCAGAAAAGCCATTCCAAATGCGACCGAGACAAGTAGTCTAACTGCAGCGGAGAACCCGTTTCAAATGAAGAACCAATTTCAAAAAAAACTACTAGATTTGGGAAACATTTTCAAAAGGCCTCACATCTCTATGGCCGCATTTGGAATGGCTAAAACCGACGTGGTCGCTTAACAATGAGTCCAACTAAACATCCAAAACTTTGCACAAGAAAAAATCGATGTGTATTTTGGTCTGCAAAAACTTAATCCGAAACGGAAATTTTTTTTTTCTCTCACCCTTTATTAATCCTATTAGAAAGAGGCCTAAGGGCGGCTTAAATAAATCCGGTGGGGCTGCAAAAATGAAGAAATTGACGTTGAGTGACTTCAAGAGTGCAAAAAAAGTGTCCTAAAAGAAAATAATGAGTTGAATAAAGTTTCTCATTTTGAGAAAAATCGAAAAAATTAAAATAAGTAAAAATACGATGAAAAATGTGCGATTTGCTTGATTTTGAAGGTTCCTTCGTGGTTCATAAGGTCATTTTGAGACGTTCCAAAAATCTTTTGAGTCCAAAATAAGCTTCAGGCTGAAATCCCAATAAAGCCAATTGGGAGATCGACAATTAGAGGCCCTTGAGAAGCTGGCAAAATCACGAAAAAGAAGGATTTTGGGTCCAATTTGATTGTCTTGTGAAGGGGCAGATGGCTTGTGAGGACCATTTTGGAGCAAGGTTGACTTTTTGGGGTCTTTGAAACTATTAAGGGCTCAAAAGTTGGGGTTTATCAACTTTTTGGCTTCAAAAAAGCGTTTTCTCACTTGAAATTTGATTAATGTCTTAAAAATCGAATGAACATACTTTCATTGGCTTTTCGATTGAAATTAAAAGGAGTTTGGCTTGAAAACGCTTTTGAACGATTCTAAGAGATTTAATGAAAATACAACAAAATCCTACAAAATCCTCTTAAACCAAACTAGACTCTAGCTGAAAAGAAAGTGCAAAAGTCAGGAAAAAGGGTGAAAAGAAGATTAAACGTCGGTTGTCACATCTCCAAACTTCCTAAATTAGAAACCTCTCATGGAACTAAAGTTTAAGCTTTATTTTTGACCAAAGTAAGCCCGGATTAAGGAAAAATTAGGGTTGAGCGCAATTTTTGGGCTTGAAAAGGCCCCTAGAAGCTTTAAAAAACTCAAGACCTTTGCTGAAACCTCCAAAAAAAATGACTCACAAAATAAAAAAGGGTGATCCGCAACATGAAATTTCACGCCTCAACAGTAGGGCCGTGAGAAAAACAAACAAAACAATTTTCGGGGGGCGAATCGTAAAAATGTTTCGCGTCGTTTCTGAACACTTTACACCATATAGACATAGAGGGGAATCCCCTTTTTCTTCATGAAAAAAAAATGACGTGACGGGACAGGTCGGTTTCAAAATGAATGAATGAAAAACAACAAAAAAAAAACAAAGCTATTTTTATCCGGTATGACGGGATATTGTGAAATTTATCCCTGAAGCAGATTTGTAAGGGAAAATGAGCCAAAAGAGATAAATTATCATTGGAGCAACTTATGCACGATAAAATGGCCGAAACCCCAAATTTTTTCCCATTAGTTATGTTGATAAAAACAAGGCTATTTTTATCCTGGATGACGGGATATTGTGAAATTTATCCCTGGAGCAGATTTGGAAGGAAAAATGAGCCAAAAAAGAAAAATTCAAGTGGATCCTCATTGGAGCAAGTTCGGCATGAAAAATTAGAATAAAATTCCGCATTTTCGAAACTTTCTGATTGGAGCAAGTTTGACTGATGAAAACAAGCTTTTTCATCCCGGATGACGAAAAATTGTGAAATTTATCCGTGGAGCAAATTTGAGGGGAAAAATGAGCCAAAAAAGAAAGTATCAAGGAAAATTCTCAATGGAGCAACTTAGGCACGACAAAAACGTTCAAAATTTCTAATTTTCAAGACTTTCTCCTCGGAGCAACTGCTGCACGGAAAAAAAACGCCAAGTTTTCAAATTCGATCAATTTATCGCTAGAGCGGCTTAGACATGACAAAAAAGATGAAGTTCCTTCACTTTTCTCATTGGAGCAACTTGGGCATGACAAAAACGACCAAAATTTCTAATTTTCAAGATTTTCTCTTTGGAGCAACTGTTACACGGAAAAAAGCGCCAAATTTTCAAATTTGAATCATTTATCGCTAGAGCAACTTGGCCATGAGCAACTAAGAGGCATTGGAGCAACTAAGAGGCATAAAAACCACCAAAATTCATGATTTATAGAAACCGCCAGGCTCCAACTTTTCAAAAAGACAACTATCAATAGAGCAAATTTGACTTCAAAATAAAGCCATCAAACCAAAAAACAGGCCTTTCAAAATATTCTGACCCTAAAAAGTCTCTGAAAACGACAAAATATCCAGTTTCACAACAATAATTGCCTTGCCAACGCATCAAAAATGACTTTTGTTTTGATCGGTTTTTGAGCCCGTTTGATCCAAAAAAAAAATAATCACCAAGAAGGGGAAGAAGTTTACTGTACTTCCTTCTGTAAAGAGGCTCAATTTAGCAGCTTATTCTAATGAGGACTACTGTAAGTATTACTGTGGGAATTTTTCAAAAAGGTTGAGAAAAACGACGAAAGATTACTGAAGAATGATCTAAAAACTTCCAATTTTATGAAGATTTTTCAAAATCTAAGACCAAATCCTCTATCTAAACTACTCAAAAACCCTCTAAAAAAGTCCGATTTCTTTTATTTTTTTTTTAAATTCAAGACGTCCCCCTTGTCTACATGTCTACATGTCTAAATGAAGTTAGGAAAAAAGGTTCAAACAAAATAAAAATAAAATAAAAACGGACCGCGATCGTAGGGAGCGTGAGAAGGACTTCCGCCGGTAGGCAAGGCGACACTCGTCGGATGATGGAAAGAAGTCGATCCGAAAAGGTTCGTCGACGAGGAAGAAGCCAATGAAGACGTTGGCTGATGATAGCTCCTCGTCAGGGTGTTGGTACTTCCGAGAGCCGGATTACGGTGACCGTGGAGTGCCTGGAAATGGAGGAGATGAATTCTGAGCCATTCCAAATGCGTCTTTCAAACATGATCATCTTGGGAGGTCCTATCAAAGTCTCAAAAGTTACTAGTTTATCAAATCGAACCGTCTGCTGGTCATGGAGGGACTGGAGATTAAAAATTTAAGCCATTCCAAATGCGGCTTGGGTAAAACCATCCTCTTCTAATTTTCCACTGAAACCTTGAAAGAGTTCTTTTTCTCAGACCGACTTTGAACAGCGTCTGACCCGTCTGCGCTCTCTTCTCTCTCACCGACTGAGATAAATTATGGAAACGTGGAAAAATCGGACTTTTTTTTTAGTTCTGGTAACTATTCTACAAGTGAAATTGACCGTTTTCCACAAGTTTTAGAGTTTTGGTCGCATGGGGAATGGCTTGACGCGTTGCGGCATGATCTTTGATACCACAGAGCTCGAGTAGTTTCAGGTCGGGTGCAATTGAAAAAATTTTTCACATGCGAGAGTTAGCTCCGTGGTTCAAGTTTGTCATAAAAAAAGGTCAAGATAAAAATGGTAGAACCAGAAATTTCGAAAAATTAAATCGACGAACTTTTTGAAATGATACGTTTTCCGTTGAAAAAAGAATAATATTGTACAAAATTAGCGGAAAATTTTCGAAATATGTCCAAAAATGGCATGTGAAAGCTTGAAAATAAAGCTCTTTTTCCAACTTTTTCCAAACTATCAGCTCAAAAAACCACTTCCAGGGGCCCAAAAAGTGACCTCAAACCGTGCAAAACCACAGTTCAAAAGCGTGTGTTCTTGTGTTTTTCCGTTGCTTTTTCCAGACCCCGCCTGGTATAAATACATTGGGCAAATATTTGGTCAAAGAATGACATCAGATGGTTCATCATGACAATCATGATTCGGTGTGGGATCGTGTCGTGCTTGGACCAAGGTCAACTTTTTCTCGGCATTATTTCAAAACTTGGTCCAGGTTGTGAAATGTTGAGGAAAATTGTGTCTGGGGGGGGGTTGCATCATTTTTTCGTGAGCTTCTTTTTCTTTCATTTTTTTCCTATTCCCATATAAGATTAAAAATTGAGTTTATAATAATCCTTTATGAAAAATCCAGACCTCATTTTCAGAAACTCCCCACAAATCCATCAAATATGCGTCCCAAAAAAGTGTGTTCTCATTTTTTGGAAAATTTCTGATCACGGCTATTTTTTCCGAGGCTTTTCAGCTCCATGGATAACTGAGTTCAATTTGGTGATTTCAGGAAAGTTTACTCTAATATTTCATAGATCTTCAAAGTTTTGAACTGAGAATTGATAAAGAAATTTAACAGCTGCAAATTTTAGCCAAGGCTTTTGCGCTCCACGGATAAAAATTGAGTTTGATACGGTTTTTTTTTGAATCAGTTTATCTTGATTTTGAGATAAATTTATCTTAATCTGATACTCAGGCGAGAATGGGATTCTCTCCAGGCTTTTGTTTAAAATTACTGCGGCCATTATTACCAAGTCTTTTTCGCTCTACTGACAACTGAGTTTGATTACAACCCATGGGTTCTGTCCCCAAGTTCATATTGATTTTGAAGTTACTTTCTCCAAATATTCAACTGATCAGGCGAGGATTGAAATCCATGCTTTTGTTTAAAATTACTGCGGCTATAATTTCTAACCCTTCTACGCTCTACCGACAACAATTTTTGATTGGGTTCTGTCCCCAAGTTCATATCGATCTCGAAATCTTTTACCTGATCAGTTAAGGAGCTTCTATTCTACATTCCTGCGGCTATCACTATCAAGTCTTTTTCGCTCCACTGACAACTGATTTTTATTAGGTCCCCACAAGACCATCTTGTTTTTCAGCTACCTCACTTCAAGTCTTATACCTGACCAGCAAGGACTGGATTATCCTTAATCTTTCATTAAACCTCACTGCGGCTATAATTTCTAACCCTATTTCGCTCCACTGACAACTAGTTTAAGTTCGGTTATTTTTTCACCTGAACAAGCGATGAGCTGCTTCCCGAGTAGTGTCCTCCGGAAGTGGAAAAGAGATTTCCGCTGCCGCCAAGGCCCGTGGCGGCGCCGACGGCTGTGAACGCCGAGTTCGACGACGAGGAAGAGGGAACAGTGCCGCCGAAGGACGCAGACGTGCTGAGACCCGGGAGGCACAACTGTCGGACGAGAGTCGGGGCTGACGGCGAGTCACTGTAATATCAAATTTTGCAAAAAAAAAAATAAGGATATAATACAATACTAACAGATCAAAATTCAAAGAAAAGAGATTTTCCTGGAAGATTCCGAAACTTAAAAAGGGGATCTGAACCGAAAAAAATGAGATTTATACAATTGATTTGTTGAGAATTCACTCTGAGACCTCTTTTGCAGGTTTTAAAATTTCAAAAAGTAGTTCAAAAAAATCGTTGAGAGATGTATCTTCATTATATCTTCATAAAGAAAGAAAACATTTAGTCAAAAAAAAAAATCCAAAAAAAGGATATTTTACTGGAAGATTCACTCCCAAAGTGATCATTTAAGTGATTTCTTGACAAAATTCTAAAAAAATCTGTTATTCCAGAGAACAATATTGCATTAGCACTATTATTATAAAGTTGACGTTCATTATTTTCAAACTTCCCAAGAAACAGGAAAAAAATAGGTAAAAAAATTTTTTTAGATTTTTTTCAGAGAATCCTCAACGAAATTCGAAAAAGTACACGAAACCTCACCCCAAAAAAATACACATAGCGAGAAAAACTTCTGGAAAAGCTGAATAGGGACCGAAAAAGAAAGAAGAAGAAGAAGAAAAGGAAACGAAACCAGGCGCATTAGGGAGAATCGCGGCCCTGTGTGTCTCAAAAAGCACAGGAAACGGTTTCAAGTCAAGAAAAAAAATTGGGTTTTTCATGACTCAATTTTTTCTTTTCTTATGAAGATATAATTCAAAAAAAAGTGTCCAGAATCATTCAAAAACTAGACAGTTTTTAAAAATGAGAGGGTCTAGGCATATAGACAGTTTATCAAAATACACTCAAACTTCATAGAAAAATATCTGAATCATCAAAAGTTAGATAGTATGGAAAAGTGAGAGAGCCCAGGTTTGGTCAAAAAAAAGATCATTAAAATAACTAGAGAAATAAATCATTTTCAAAATTAGAAAAATATAAAACAGAGCGAGAGACTACGATGAGTGAAGAGAGAGCCAGACAGTCAAATTTCTCTTGTATGTCTGTGCTCTCCTCCAATCTCTTAGTCTCTAAATTTTCTTAACATCATGAGCTTTCCCTTCTTTACACTGAATGAAATTGAAGAAAAAAGCCGTAAGATTATAGATCATGAGAATAGAAGAGACACCCGGACAGTTAGAAAACTATCTCGCATGTCTGCGCTCTCATTCGATTCCTTGATCTCTAATCTCATGATTATGAAATTGTTTTCTAAGCTCAAAGACTCAAGGTTATAGAGAACTGGATTAGAAGAGACACCAGACAGGTAAAAAAGGATCTCATATCTCTGCGCTCTCCTCCTCTCCAATTATCTCTAACTTTCGCTAATTTCAATACGTTTTCTCATAGAAAAAAGCTACAAAACTCAATCTCTTCAAAAGAAGGAACTTTCGTTTCGAAATGACCCTTCCAAAAAAAACTTGTATTCTTCTTCTCCAGAACAAAACGACTTTGTGTACAAAAAACAAAAAATGAACCTTCGCAAAACAACTTTTTTGATGTGGAGGCCAATTATAATTGGGATGCAAAAGTCAAACAAGTTCAGTTATACTGGAGAAATTAAAGGGTACGGTCGGAACCGGTAATCCAACTTTTGTCATGAAATGGTCGCATTTGGAATGGCTCATTTCGATACTTTTGTTATTTTCATTCTAACCGTCGTAATCTTTTACTTTTCCAAAAAAAAAGTCTATGAAACGGGGGAAAATGCTTTTTTTTTACTGCACCCGACCTTGAAACGACTTCGCTCTTTCGCGATTTGGATCGGAAAAGGTCGCATTTGGAATTGCTTATTTTTTTATAAATTCATAATTTTGATAAATTAATTCAAAAAAAAAAAATGTAGAATTAGAAGATCCGAAAAAAGGGAATTTTCAAAAATTTCAGTACGCCGCGACGCGCCTAACCATTCCAAATGCGACCAAATAATGAATTTTTTTTTCAACTAAGGACTCAAATTTTTTCCGATAACCGCTAAGAAGAAAAAAACAGTAAAAATTAGCTCATTTCACGCCAAATTTTATCCATAATTTTCCGTAAAAACCCCAAAAAACCAAAATTTTCCTTAAAACCAGCTATTTCCTCTGACTTTCCGTACAGTTTTCTCATTGTTTTCGCTTTCTTCTCGTTCATATACCTTCTCATGGCCGATTAAATCGGTCCGTCAATGATAATAGCCGATTGGGAGAGTAAATGCGCCCCGCGGCGAATTAAAAAAGTGAAATTGATTGTTTTGATGGGTTCGAAGCAAATTATAAATTAGGTGGAACTTTAAGGAAATTTTCAAGATATTTTTTTCAAGATTAAATATTTTATGATTAGTTTTGTCAAAAAAATTCGGGAAAAATGAGCACCTCTCTATCTGCTAAAAACCAATCTCCATTTTTTTCAGAATTCAAACCACAGTGCTACCGAAAAAAATCTTTTTTTTTATCAAAACGCAACTTCCTAATTTTTCTTCTATGAATTGTTGTAAACCTGGTCGCACTGAGAATGGCTCAACGCGTCGCCGTCGCGAGGCGGTTTTGGAACTTTAACTCGACCGCGACCGCAACGCATCTCAAGCCATTCCAAACGCCACCATCTAACTTTTTTTTTTCTAAAACTTTTCTCAATTTTCTTAATCTTGGTCGCACTGGGAATGGCTCAACTCGTCGAGGTTCAAACCTGACCGCAACGCATCTCGAGCCATTCCAAATGCGACCATACTATCCCAATAACTCACCAATAAAGAGAATCATCCAAGACGCCGCAAATCGACAGTAAATTCAAATCAGAATCCGTTTTGGAAGCCATTTTCAGTGATAAGAATGAAGAGAAATACGAAATTTCTAGACAAGAGCGAGGGGAAAAAAAACCTCACGCGATCCTACAAAATCCCTTTATCCAACCGGAATTGGTACAAAACAGACAAAAGTGAAAAAAACAAAGAAAAAGAAGGGAAGATAATCTTTTTTCAAGTAGGCGAAAGCTTCAATGATAATCGGTCTGGGGAATCAAATGAGGAGGCGTTGTAAATCTCGTTATTCGTAGTTTTTTTTTAAAATTTAATCCTATCAGTTAAATTCGGATCAAAGCTTCTGATTCCAAGAAAAAAACAATTTTATGAAAAAAATTACAGTTTTCTATACGGAACCGTCATGAAAATTATGAATTTTTATAACCGATTTGGCAAGTACTGTTTAGTGGTCACTATAGGGTTTTGACGTTTTGGTGGCCACTATAGTAGTCAAATTAGTGGCCACTTAAGGGGTTAAATATTAGAGGCCATTATAGAGGTCTAAGTTCTACTACTAGACCAATGAACATTTTAGTGGCCACTTAAGGGGTGAATGGATCAAAATAACTGGTCCAATCTGTTTGTTTTGAAATTATCAGAGTTGCTGGAAGGAATACTGGATGAAAAACTACTGAAGTGGCCACTAAAACGGAAAATAGTGGCCACTAAAGAGGTGGGTTTAGTGGCCACTTTAGTGTCCTCTCCAAGTAGTCCTTGGCGAGCCTCGTGACCACTAAAAATTTTCCCAGTAAATTATCGAAATCTAATTTACACAGGTCAAAGAAAAATTAAAAAATCGCGCTTTTAGCTGTAAAATTGAATAAATTTGAACCTTTTAGGATCCTTCACTAAATTTGATTCAAAGGACAGAAAATTGAAGAAAAAAGTCGAATAAAATGTCCAAATCGGCTCAAAATGCCGAAAAAAGTTCTTTTTCTGATTTTTTCAAAGTTAAGCTATCAGGGAAAACAAAAAAATGACTAGAAAAAAAATTTAATTTTTCAAAATTTCTAATTTTTGACCCTCTATAAGCAAACTACAAACTAAAAATCCATCCAAGACCTTCAAATCCAGAGAGAATAAGAGGTGGACGACCTCCGCCGCAGGTTGGGAAATCGTCGAAAACATAAATTCTGGCCAATTAACTTCCATCCTTCTCCTAATGGACGTATATTGAAGTGGTCACTCGAGGGGCTTGGAACCAGATTTCCGACTTTCTTCCAATTTTTCATCTTTGAAGGGCAAATTTGGGAATGATATTGAATTTTTCTGGTTTCGTAGAATGGATCTGGCTGGTTTGAAAGTGCACCCGACTTGAAACGACTTGCGACTGTTGGCATCGCTTCGACCGCGATGTTCTAAGCCATTCTAAATGCGATCATAAAGTACCAGTTAAAGGCGGAATGAGAGGAAAAAACTGTCTGATGTTTAAATGAAGCTTTCTGACGATTCTTAGAGCTTGAATTGTTTTTGAATCACTTGAAAATCCAGCCAATGAATTTTTAAAAACGCGACGCGACCGCAAACGCATCGGAAAAAAACGGACTTTTCTGTCCGAATAAATTTTCTTAGCCTTAAAAATCTCTGTGATTCTCATTCTGAACTTTTTCTCAAGTCTCGAAAACCGCGACGCGACCGCAAACGCATCGGAAAATATTAAAGTTTTCGTCTAATCTTGATAGCCTCGAAAAACCTCTCATTAAGATACTGAATTATTTTCAAGCCTCAAAAACCGCGACGCGACCGCAAACGCATCGGAAAAACGGACTTTTCTGTACGAATAAGCTTTATTAGGCTCAAAAATCCCTGTGATTTTCATTCTGGAACCTTTCTCAAGTCTCGAAAACCGCGACGCGACCGAAACGTATCGGAAGCTATTACTTTTTTGTCTAGTAAAAAAAAACCTTGAGAGCCTCAAAAAACCTCTCATTTCAATTCAGAACGTTTTTTTTGAGCCTCGAAAACCGCGACGCGACCGCAACGTATTGAAAACTGACTTTTCTGTCCAAATAAGCTTTATTAGGCTCAAAAACCCCTGTGATTTTCATTCTGAACTTTTCTCAAGCCTTAAGAACCGCGACGCGACCGCAAACGCCCCAAAAAGCACCCGTGTTTGTTTTCTGTCTCGCGTGCAAAAAAAAGTGTCCAATTTCCTACAGGTACCGGTATTTTCTCGTGTTTTTCACACGCCGCCATTTTCCTGTTTCCTGTTGTTTTATGACCGACCTTTTCTCTCTCTCACTTTTTGGAGAAAATGGGGGAATCCCTTCTGCAAAATGTGACGCTCGGGTGCCTATGAACAGCCTTTAAAAATGGACTTGAGAAAAAATTCAAAGTGAAAATTTTCCCATTGGATCAAATTCTGCAAAGAAAATGAGCCTATTTACGGGAAAAACCTAGCAAAATCGACGTTGCAAACGGAATTCCTCAATAAAAGTACCTATAAAATCGGGTAACAATCAGAAAAAAACGAGTTCCTCAAAAGTCAACAACCATGTTTTCCACTTGAAATGGTTCTATAGGGAATAAAAAAACGAGAATACAAATAAAAAGTTTTTTTCAGATCGAATACAAAACTTTGAATGTTCAAAAAAATACAATTTGAAGTTTTTGGGCCATTTTTTTGGAATTATTTCTTGATAACGGCAAAGGTTGCATAGAAAAAAAGATCAAAAACTTTCAAAAAAATGAATATAAAAAAACAAGGAAATCTTGATAAAATCGCAAAATTCCCCTCAAAACGATGAAAAATAAAGTTGAGGAGCTCAAAATTATCAAAAAAAGGAGTTTTCGGAATTGAGATTATTTTTTTAGCTTGACCAAATGTCTATAATAAACTTGAGAAAAAAATCAAAAAAATGATCATTTTTTTCTTGCAAAAAAATCCTAAAAAAATTTTTTTCGAAAAAAATGAAAAATTTTTTTCAAAATAACTTTTCCAATGCTTTTTTTATGCCAAAACCTCCCAATAAGAAAAAAATTGTTTCAAAGCTTCAGATTTAAAAAAATCCTTTAAGCTCAAAAAAATTCGCCAAAAAAACTTCAAAAAAAGAGCGGAAAAAAACTGTCCCGGACTCAAAAAAAAAGAAATGAAACTCGACACCGTGTGGTCAACGGCTCACGTCCAAGAGAACCGGAAAAATACACAAATTCCTCTTTTTTCAAAAAAGTCATCAGGAAAGGAAAAGCTTTACAATTTCTAGTGGAAAACACTTTCCGTTTGGTTTAATACATATAATAAACGTGGGGGGATGGGTTTGAAGCAGAAGACGAAGAAAAAGAAAAAAGACGAAGAAGCATTAAGTGAGAGTGAGAAATGGATAGGAAAAAAAAAAAGGAGGATCTCGTTTTTCCTTCCGTTCAACACTGTTGATTGGGAAAAAAGTTGTATTGAAACAACTTGAAGTCTTACTGGTCGCATTTGGAATGGCTCAAAAGTTCACGGCTCGAAATAGCATCTCGCGAAAGTCATTTTTAGTCGGCCGCATCATTTCAGAAGCGTTTATCCATTCCAAATGCGACCAAACTGTTATAAGGGAGATCATAAACAAAGCGACCCGTTTTTGAAATCATCTGGTCGCACTTGGAATGGCTCAAAAGCTCACGGCTCAAAATAGCATCTCGCGAAAGTCATTTTTAGGCGGCCGCATCATTTCAGAAGCGTTCATCCATTCCAAATGCGACTAATCATTAAGTAAAAATCTCTTTTTGAAGTCAACTGGTCGCACTTGGAACGGCTCAAAGCTTCACGGCTCGAAATTGCATTTGGCGGGAGTCATTTTTAGTCGGGCGCATCATTTCAGAAGCGTTTATCCATTCCAAATGCGACCAAACTGTTATAAGGGAGATCATAAACAAAGCGACCCGTTTTTGAAATCATCTGGTCGCACTTGGAATGGCTCAAAAGTTCACGGCTCAAAATAGCATCTCGCGAAAGTCATTTTTAGGCGGCCGCATCATTTCAGAAGCGTTTATCCATTCCAAATGCGACTAATCATTAAGTAAAAATCTCTTTTTGAAGTCAACTGGTCGCACTTGGAATGGCTCAAAGCTTCACGGCTCGAAATTGCATTTGGCGGGAGTCATTTTTAGTCGGGCGCATCATTTCAGAAGCGTTTATCCATTCCAAATGCGACCAATCATTAAGTAAAAGTCTTTTTGAAGTCATCTGGCCGCATTTGGAATGGCTCAAAGCTTCCCGATCGCCCTGTAGTTCTGGTTGCATGCATCTTCGACATTAAGGCTTCCAATAATGGCACGCGAAAGTAGCTTCTGGTCGGGCGCAGCTTGAAAATCCTTTTCGCAGTCGCAACGCGCTGATCCATTTCAAAACGATGAGAAAGCTCAAAAAAGTGGTCAAAGTTTTAAAACTGTATGAGGAAGTGATTCTCTTCAATTTTGCTCAAATCCCGAAATTCTGGTCGCATTTGGAATGGCTCTAAGCATTGCAGCTTGTTCCAAACATTTCTTCGACCATCATAGTAATGTAAACATGCGTAAGTCGCTTTGAGTCGGGCGAAATTCTAAAAACCGCTTTGCGACCGCAACGCGGTGAGCCATTCTCCATGCGACCAAGAAAATTCAAGAAAAATATCAGAAACTGTCTCAAGACCAGAATCTCTTTGATTCGAAAAAATAAATCATAAGTTCACTGAGCAATGAAACTGAACTAAAAACTGAAGAAAAGCTCCGAAAACCCAAAAAAGAAACCCGTCGAGAAACGCAGAAAGACAAAAGAACATGAAAAAAACGCGTTGGATCCACTACAATGTTCGAATGAACGAATGTCCGCAGATATTCGTCGTTGTAACACCAAAAGGTTCGTTTCTCAATTTCTTCCAAGTCCCAGGAGAGAAGAGCATTCGGAGCACGATATAACTCACAGAGCAAAAAAGAGCAAAGGTCGTAAAAAGGGAGCAAAAATCTAACAATGACTGACAATTTTTGGGGTCTCAAGAGGTTGAAAGTGGAAGGAAAAAATCGCCGCAAAAATTTATGGAATCTCGGTTTTCTGCGCTCCACGGACAAAAAATAAAGAAGGATACTCCCGTTTTTCACATGAGGTCCTCTCAGTTGTTTAAATTATTCTCGACTTTTCTAAATAACAAAAAAAATCAATAATTTGAGCTCTCCGATGTTTTTTTGCGCTCCATTGACAAATTTCAGTGTTTTTCTTTTTCTGAAGCCATTTCAGCTTTTAAACGCTGCAAAATTTTCAGATAAATGTAAAATTTACTCCAGTTTTTCACATAGAGTTCTTTCAACTGTTAAAAACATGCTCCACATTTAAAGTTAAAAAAAATCGATAATTCGAATTTTTTGTGAGATTATGCGCTCCATTGACAATTTTCATTTTTTTTCTTCAAAAGCTGCAACTCATCTCGAACTCTGTGATTGTACTACTCAGTGCCGTGGCACACATTTTAAACTTCAACTTTTCGGAGGGAAAAAGTTACAAATAGTGAGAAACTTCAAGGGGAACACCGATGGAGGTGCAACTTCTCAATCATCGTGTCAGAATGACTCTCGACAACTGTTCGCCAATTTGAAACAACTGAAAATGTTCTTTTCTGGTTCTTCTGGGGGTTTTGAAGCAAAAAAAAAAAACGTTTTCCGTTCTTTCTAAGGGGTTGATAAGGTTCTCAGAGTCTACTAAAACTTTAAAAATGAATAAAATCAGCCAGAACTTGTAAAATTTCTCAGAAAAGGTCTAAAGATTTGAGTCTTCCGGTTCCTCTTGAAATTAACCAGTGAAAAAAACTTTTCCCGTTCTTTCTTAGGCATCGACAAGGCTCTCAGATTCTTCTAGAGCTTCAAAAAAATTGATCAAACTTCTCAAAATTGCAAAAATTTTTTTCAGAAAAAAAGGTCTAAAAATGTTAGAATCTTTTGGTTCTTTAAAATTTTGCAGATGTCAAATTTTTTCGCGTTCTTTCTCAAGCTTCGATAAAGCTCTCAGAACTGTCTAGAACTTCAAAAATCAGAGAAATCACCTTGAAAAATTCCTCAGGAACTTGTCAGAATTTTCTGATGCTTTTGAAATCTTTTCGTCTGAAAGTTCGAGAGGGTCAACGGGTCCAAGGACATTGAAAAAAATCCAGAAAAAGAACCCTGATTTACTTCAAAAAAATTCACAAAAAAACCTAACCAATACTCAAAAAAATGCAAGGGAATAGTCAAATTTCACTTATTCCAAGTCATAAAATGTAAATGAAACAACAAAAAAATTCGAACTTTCAGATTTCAAACTTTCTAGAAAAACGGGCTTACTTCAATCGAATCGAAAAAAATCGAAAAAAACGAATTGTATATTTTATTCAAAAACTATCAAAAGCATGAAGAAATGGTCTTTTCAAAAAAACCAAAAAAATTGTTTAAAATCCCGGAAAAAAACATTAAAAATAAGAATATTTTTTTCTTCTATCAAGCTACCGAAACCTATAAAAAAATGAAATTTACCCCGTGCCATATGAAATTTCAACCCAAAAAAGAAGATCAATTAAAAAAAAAACGGTTCATAAAATCAAGATCACAACGCATTTTAGTCATTTCAAAAGTCGGAAAACGAAAAATCAAGCCAAAGAAGCCTTTTTTTGTAAAATATCTTGATCATGAAGTAAATCAGGTGTTTTTTCTGGATTTTTCCAATGTCCTTGGACCCCTTGACCCTTTCGAACTTTCAGACGAAAATAATTTTTATGCGAAATTTCAAAGGCATCAGAAAACTCTGACAAGTTGCTGAGGAATTTTTAAAGGCATAGGGGCAGTAGAAAATGGGGTTTCAGGTGAAAGCAGTATCTTATATAGTTTTTCATTGCGAATCGAATGGTGTACTCAAAAAAATTACAGATGTGACAATTTTAGAAGAAAAACGCGATTTTACTTTCCCGCCTTCAATTTTGAAAAAAGCTATGGATCGGCCTACGGACAACTGTTTACAGTAGCCGTGCACGCGATGTTGCGGACGTCTCATTAGACTCGCATTTTGTGAGAAATAACTGGATATCTGCTTCAAATTAAGGATTTCTTTTTTGAAAAATCGATTAAGAAAAACAGAAAAACACATTGATAATAAAGAAAACACAAATAATCGCTATCCCAATCGAAGCCTGTGTAAAATCATCATTTTTCACCAGAGAAGCGTTTTTGCGATTAAAGTTTGCAAACTATACATGAATAGTAAGCTTTTGTGACGAAAAGAACTTTGGTGACAACAGAAAAAATCGAAAATTGAAAAAAACGAAGAAAAAAGGGAAAATCCGGAAGACGGCAAAGCGTGTTGTCCATAGAGCAACTTTGCTGCAAAACGCCCTTTTCGCGGGAACTCAAACTTTTCTCTCTCCGACTTTGAATTAATTTTTCTCCAAAACTAGGAACTTCTGTACGTTTTCAAGTTCACCGTTCGATTTGCGATGAAAAGCTCTATAAATTACTGCTTTGAACTGAAACACCGTTTTTTACTGCCCCTATGCCTTTAAAATTCGAGGTGATTTCTTTGATTTTTGAAGTTCTAGACAGTTCTCACAACGCATTTCAGTCATTTCAAAAGTCACAAAACGATAAATCAAGCCAAAGAAGCCAATAAAAGCCTCGATTGCCCAACAATATAACATACGAAGGAGAGAAAAGCCGTTGGAAGCCGGCCAAATGGTCATTTCCTCTCGAAAATCTCTCCCAACACAATTCATCTTTCGGCCACTCGGATCTCACACCGAAATCAATCACGTTTTGATTCGCGCCAAGGTCTCCGAAAGCATATTCATTGAGAAGATGATGGGAAAAGCTGAGAAAATCATCATTCATTTCTTCAAAACTGTCAAAAATTGGGTGTTTCAATCGAACTTTATTCCTTTTCTTCTGATAATATGATCGAAACAGCTAAGAAAATCATCCCAAAAATTAAAAATACTTCAAAAACTGTCAAAAATGGGAAATTTTCAGTCATTCTTTCTACATTTTTCTCTCATAATATGATCGAAACAGCTGAGAAAATCATCCCAATCGATCAAAAATTGAAAATTTCGGTCATTTTTCCTACATTTTTTGGGGAAATGACCGAAAAAGCTGGAAAAATCATCCTATTCGGTCAAAAATGCTTCAAAAACTGTCAAAAATGGGAAGTTTCAGTCATTTTTTGTTCATTTTTCTCTCATAATATGATCGAAACAGCTGAGAAAATCATCCCAAACGATCAAAAATGCTTCGAAATCGATCAAAAATTGAAAATTTCGGTCATTTTTCCTACATCTTTTTGGGAATATGATCGAAAAAGTTAGGAAAAATTCGGTCAAAAATGCTTCAAAAAAACTGTCAAAAAATGGAGTGTTTCAGTCCGTTTTTTTCTTCATTTCCCTTCGATAAAATGATAAAAAAAGCTGAAAAAAACTGTTTTATCCAATCAAAAAAATGCTTCAAAAATCGATCAAAAGTTGAAAATTTCGGTCTTTCAAATTTCTTTTTGATTTTTCAGGCCCAAATCAAGCCTGTTTTGAAGATACAAAAAGAAAAAGATTTTTTTAAAAAAATTATATTTTTTTTCTGTTTAAAAAAACTGTCAAAAAAATGGGATGTTTCAATCAGATTTTCTTCCTTTTTTTCTTTAATATTATGATGAAAAAAAGCTCAGAAAAACTGTTTTATTGAGTCAAAAAAATGCTTCAAAAAAATGCTTCAAAAAATGCTTCAAAAAAATGCTCAAAAAAATGGAAAAAAAGTTTTTTTCTCCAAATTTTCTTCGATATAAGACTTTTTTTCTGAAAATATGATAGGAAAAGATGAAAAAAATCATCTCTTTTGCTGAAAAATGTTTCAAAAAAAGCCAAAAAAAATGAAAGAATTTTTTTTAAAAGTCAGTTCTCCTTGGGATTTTTTTTCGATTTTAACGCCATTCCGAGTAAAAAAAAAGTCTAATAAGTTTTCGAAAAATGATAGAATATGATACAATCAAAATCATCAAAACTATGAAAAACTAGAAAATTTATGATTTTTCAAGTATTTTTCCAATAGGACCTTGTAAAGCTCAAAAATATGAGGAGCAACTTTTTGGTAAAGATCTTGAAATTCAGAAAAATCTAAGAACCATGAATTTCGCAATACCGAAACCTCTTAAAAACATCAAAAAGGCCTTGATTATCGAAAAGTTTTAATTTTTTTAATTTCAAAAAAACGAAGATTTTCCAAGAAAAAAATAACAAAAACACACAATTTCCCACAAAATATGTGTGCAAAATGTGCATTTCATTTTCGTGGCCGGAAAATAAATGTTCAAATAAATATATATACGAAACCGCAGGGAGGGGAACATTTTACAGCCAAAGTATCAATAAAACTCCAGACGCGCTCTAATGGACTTCAGTGTCTGGAGCTCTGTTTTTCTTGGAAAAAAAAGAAAAACAAAAAAAAATGAAAGAAAATATGGGATTATGGAGAAATAGCATTGCAAGAGTGAAAGAAATTGAAACAACCATTCAAAAAAAAATTTTTTCAAAATTAACTGAACGAAAAAAAGCTTGAAAAGTTCCATAATGCTGTGAAAGAACTTCTAAGAGTATTAAAATTCTCAAAATTGCCCCTACATTCTCAAAATCGCAGAAAAAAACCGGAAAAATTCAAACTTATCACTGAAAAAAAGCATAAAAAAATCGACGAAAAACCATATTTTTTCTATTTTTGTAGTGTGAATATTTCAAGAAAAGCTTTATGAAAAAAAATTTTACCGACTAAAAAAATCTTGAAAGCATTGCTGATAATAAAATCTTCAAAATCGCCAAAAATTGAAAAAAATCGAACCAATGACTTTGAAGAAACATCGAAAAAAATATAGATAAATCGTCATTTTTTTAAATTTTGTATGTTTGAGTGATTCCAGAAAAATGAAGAAAAAGGCTCTTTGAAAAAGTTTAAATCATCACAAAAAGCTTCTGAAAATGAAAAAAATGTTATCAATTCATTGATTTATCGAATTCCTGTAATAGAACCGCCAGAAGAAAAACTCAAAAAATCGAAAAAGTGAAAAAATCTACCAAAAACTCTACATAAACCATCATTTATTTCAAACTTTCCTCAGTCTGAACCCTTAAAACTAATTTTTCAACTTGTAACAACAAAAAACGCTCGAAAACTCTAAAGACCTCTTTCAAAACTTCTCAAAATCACAAGATTCTCCAAGTTTCAAAAAAATATTTGGAAAAAGACGTCAGAAAGAACGGGAAAAACGAGAAAATTGTGTCGATGAAAAGGTGCGGGAGAAAAAAGGCGTGATTCTGATATCTGGATATGATGAATGGCGTTTTCATCACGCTCTGATAACTTCCTATTGTCTCGTTTTTTTGTTATGTTTCAAGATTTTTGTCACTTTACTTTTATGTCTTTTTGCAAAATTCTAGTTGTTAATAATCTAGAGATTATGTTGATAGATCGAAAAATGTTCAAACTTGAATTTTTTAAAGGTCACTTTGAAAGTTCGTAAGAAGTTCCATTGGTTTTTGTCGCAATGGTCGCATTTGGAATGGCTCAACGCGATGCGGTCGCGCGGCGGCTCGTTCAAAAATTTCATTTGACGTATTCCAAGGTTTCAAATAGACCAGTGCGAGAGTCGTTTCAAGTCGGGCGCATCTCAAAAACACCTAATTTTAAAACCGCAACTTTTACACCCATTCCACGTGCGGCCAAGGTGTTTTGAATGACTTCAATTGAGTTCTGAAGTCGTGAAAGTCAAGGTAAACCTTAATTTCTTTAGGTAAATTTGAAAATCAAGAGCTGTTAAGGTGAAGCTTAAGGTCCACTGAGATAGAAACAAATTTCGGCTTGGATGAAGCTCCTGAGAAAGTTTTAAGTGGTCACTTTAGGGTTTTGAAGTTTTAGTGTCCATTATAGTCGTCGGATTGGTGGAACGGAGAACTACTATAGAGGTCACTAAACCAGTTGCTTCTGTAGAGGTGGTTTTAGTGGTCACTTTAGTGTCCTCTCCAAGTAGTCCTTGAGAAACCTCTTCATTGTCAAAAACCTCATCATCGATTTCCGAGCTTATGCAAAATTTAACAAAATCACCTTGTTCTTAATACCGACAAAAGTCAAAAAAGAAACTGGAAACTCAACTCAAAAAGACCGCGATACAAGATCTCTAGGAAAAAATGAACAAGGGTGGAAAAACTGACAAGAAAGTGGTGGTGGAACGGCACAATTCGGACACGCGTCGGTCGGGGAGAAGGCACACGCGGCCCGAACAGAACCTGATCGGCCAGTCTTTCAGTATAAACATCCAAGAGCCGCGCTCAGGACTGTCCACACACACACACACAGACACACGCATACAATTGGCACAGTCACCGGCGATTTTTGGTGTACGTGAGGAGGGAAACGGCAAGGAAAAGAATGGTAGGTTGGATCGAATCTGAAGCTTCTCCAAGCTCATACAAATGCAGACCATTTCTCCCTAGTCCTTTTAAATTAAAGTTAATACTACCTCTCTCAGGCTCCAACTTGTGTTATTGTGGCTAAAACCGCCTCCCTGAGATTGAAACTTGATTTATTCCTATGGTTCCAACTCCTCCTCCCGAGCTGAATGATTCTGTATTTGCATATCTATGTTCAGGCTCCATTCAATCAATTTACAAAAGCCCGAAACCTTCTGAAGATCGGGAATAACGAGACGAGTTCAAATATTGGCTTGGATGAAGCTCCTGCGAAAATTCTAGGTGGGCACTTCAGGGTTTTGACGCTTTAGTCGCCCCTATAAGAGAATTACTATAGGGGCCACTAAAACACTAGTTTTAGTGGACATCTTAGTGTCCTCTCCAAGTGATCCTTGAAGAACCCCTTGAGTGGCCACAAAAGTTATTCCCAGACAGCTTTCTACTTCTGAAAAATGCTTCAAAAAGCCAAAAGAAAACACGAAAACGAGCTCAAAAAATTGAAAAATTGAACACTTGTCAAAATAGAAAGAAAAATGTTAGAAAACTTTGTAAATTCTGACTTTTTTCATGTCAGACAGTACTTTTCAGCCTCTACAAGAAATCTCCCATTTTCGTTAACTTGTGACAATATAAGATCTTATTTTTTAAGGTTGAATTTGAACTTCAAAATAAATTAATCTTCGTTCTATATGCTCAATCATAACCTAAGAAGCAAGAGAATATGAAAACTATGGCTAAAATCTCAAAGAACCGATTTAAAAATTAAATAAAGTCCTGAGATTATCTCCAGGAAAAAAATAGGTTTGAAAAAAATCAATGGAAACATGAAGCTCAAAACACTTTTTTCTTCAACTTTGAAACTTTTTTCAAATATTCAACCTGTTTTTAACTCAAATTTTGAACACTTGCTTTTAAAAATCAAGCCAAAGTCAACATTGAACTAAATCTCATGATTGAGAAATTCAAGCTTCGTTCGATCTCAATAAAATTCGAAACTAATTGACATTATAAACTGGAAAAAACGATCTATGAAGAAATTCGTGTGCTTTCAAGATCTTAAAAACACGAAAAAGACCTCAAAATTGGCTAAAAACGACAAAAGCTTCAAACGGATCCAATCCTTCTCGAATGTACAGCACGCAAAACGTGCAAAAAAAAAAACAACAGTCGGAAAAAAGGAATGAGCAAAGAAAGGACGCAGATGGTCCCAAAAATAGCCACGAAAAGAGCCGTAAATAGTCATCAGAGCCTTTTTCTCTCTTTTTCTCTGTTATGGCTCGCAATTTGTATAGCTTCTAGTACAGTCTCACTCGACTGGGCTAGTTTTTAGAGACGCTTAAACTCGGAAAAAGAAAAAATACCAAAAAATGTTGAAATTATTTTTTTTTTTACGTTATGCTGGCCTCTCAGTATATTTTCACTTTTTCCAAGCTCCCAAATTCTGCTTATTATTTCATTTCACAGGAACCTAAAAAAGAAAATAAAAACTAACTGTGAAGCTGCGCGGCCACTGGTTTCCAACGAAGCAGAGCGTTGACCCTGAAAAATTGATTTCGAATGTTTTCGGAGGGAAGAAGATTTCAGAAAAAGATGATGAAACGTCCTTTTTTTTTCAAAAAGGCGCGTAAAAACAATTTTTGAAACTTTCACTTTTTTTGTTGGTAAGGCCTTCGAAAGCTCTTTTTTCCCCTTCTCCAAAATTCCCTTCATTTTTGGTTGGGAAATTTTTTAGTGGCCACTGTAGAGGCTTGCCAAGGTCTATTTGGAAAGGACACTAAAGTGGCCCCTAAACCCATTTCTATAGTGGCCACTATTTTCCGTTTTAGTGGCCACTTCAGTAGTTTTTCATCCAGTATTCCTTCCAGTAACTCTGATAATATTAAAACAAACAGATTGGACCGGTTATGATGATCCATTGACCCCTAAAGTGGCCACTTGTTTTGAACCCCTTAGGTGGCGACTAATTTGACTCCTATAGTGGCCACTAAAACGTCAAAGCCCTATAGTGGCGACTAGGTTTTTTTATGGTCTAGTAGTAGCACTGAGACCTCTACACTGGCAACTAAATGGTGACCCCTTAAATGGCCTCTAATTCGACTTCCATAGTGGCCACTGAAACGTCAAAACCCTATAGAGGCCACTAGATTTTTTATGGTCTAGTAGTAGCACTAAGACCTCTATAGTGGCCACTAATTTTTTAACCCCTAAAGTGGCCACTAATTTGACTCCTATAGGGGCCACTAAAACGTCAAAGCCTTAAAGTGGCCACTGAAGTTTTTAGTGGGATAGTGGTAGCACTGAGACCCCTGAAGTGGCCACTTATTTTGAACCCTTTAGGTGGCCACTAAAACGTCAAAACCCTATAGTGGCCACTAAACATTTCCCAGAGTTTCTTTTCGAATTTTTTCACTTAACTTTATTGATTTTTCCTTTCTTAAGTTTTTCGAATTTGCTTCCGATCAAAAACTACTAGAAAAAAAACCTGGGCGGTGACGTCGATCTGCTGTCCGTAGCTGCGGTTGTTGCGGGTGAACGAGGCCAGGGCGGCCATTTCGTCGTCGGTTCTTCTTCTTCTCGGTTGACTTTTCCACCTCCTTGTTTGATTGTTTCAGGCCGTGTTTATTGCAACCCTGGAAGATAAAATTGAGTTTTTTTTTTCTCGTCTTTTTACAATCAAGAGAGGGACAAAGATCATGGGAACGAAAAGGAAGGAAAAAATCAGTGAAAAAAGATTTCAAAGAAAATCCGTTCTAAAGCCTTTAAAAAAATATTTTTGAAGACACTTTGATGAATAAAAAAAGTTCAAACAAGCTTGCTGGCGCTTTGAAAGGCGCAGAAGCTGGGAATTATCACTAAAAACGGCTTTTCGGTTCGAAAAATCCACTCAGAACCAGGCAATGCGCCTTGAAAAAGTTAATCGAAGATCTTTCACATTATTAAAAGTGGAAAAGGAAATGAAGAGCAAAAAAAAATTCAGGAAACCAGTAAAGACTTCAGAAAAAAACGTGACCTTATCTCCTGGCGCAGTTTTCAAACTTGGCGCCGGATTTAGGCGCGATAATCGATTTATGGTCATTTTTGACCTTTCCCTTTCAAAATGATTTCTTTTTTGATCGCTAAAATGCAAAGAATTATCTATTTTCGTTCAAGAATAATCCATAAAAATTCAAAATTTTTCAAACCTCATTTTGAATAATCTACTAAAGCCACAAATGTTCTAGCGTTCAAAACCGAAATTCAAAAAATTTTGAAAAGAAGTAAAAAATTTTGCAATGAACCTTATCAGTGAAATCATCAGTTTATCAGTCAAACGGAAAAAAAAATCGGAATCGGAGACGAGATAAAAAGTGCTGTTGGGAAGATAAGGGATCGAAATTTTCCTGAGAACTGTACGATTTTAATATTTCACTTTTTCCCGAATCATTCAGGTGATAATCGAGGAAAATGTGACCCCATGCAGAAAAATTAGAAAATTAGAAAAAGCGTCAGATAGGATGTTATATACGCAGACCGCGCTTACACAAAAATCTACAGTAACGTGAAAAATCCAAACAGCTGATTTTCATCATTTTGAAACATAAAAAAAGTTTTTTCCTAATTTTTGTCTAATAGACTCACTAGAAATTAACTTTTCCGCAGAAAAACTTGAAAACGTTCTCCGCAAAGAAAAGTAAGAAATTAGGCAAGGAGTCAGATAAAATGTTTGATACGCAGAGGGTGTTCACACAGTAGCAAAAATACCGTAACCTCGAATAAGTGATTTTCATCATTTCTAAACGAAATTTGAGGTTTAATCTCATTTTTGTCCAAGAGAAGCATTGAAAACTTATTTTTCCGAACGAAAACTCGGAAATTTTGCCAACTCCGCAGAGAAAAAGTGAAAAATTAGAAAATGCGTAAGATGAAATGTATGATACGCAGAGGGTGTTTACACAAAAAAAAAACTACAGTACCCGAAAAAAAAAGTCTAATAAAATACTTTCATCGTTTTAAAAGAAATCTGAGCCTCAATCTCGTTTTCTCCTAATAAAATAATTGAAAACAAATCTCGAAAAAACTCGAAAAAGTTTTCATGTCAGCAGAGAGAAAGTGGAAACTTTAAAAAAGGCGTCAGATAGGATGTTTGGTCCGCAGAGGGTGTTTACACAAAATCGTGAACTACCGTAACCAAAAATATGCAAATAAGGGATTTTCATCATTTCTGAACAAAACTTGAGGTTTATACTCATTTTTGAGCAAGAAATCCATTGAAAACCGAAAATTGAGCTTCAATCTCGTTTTCTCCCAATAAAACCACTGAAAACCAACATTTTGCCACAAAAACTCGAGAAAGTTGCCTACTCCTTGTGTGCAAAAAGTGGAGGAAAAAATGGGGATTGTTGTAATAATTCGAGTGGCCGAAAATGTTCGTCAGTTGTTGCGACAAGAACTGCCAAGATTGAGCGTTCTTCCTTGCAACATTTGGCAGGTTTGCCGTGAAATTTTGCTTTCTTTCCGCGTAAGAACCCTAGGGGTCATTTTGCACTTTTGAGGTGAGAAAACGCGACAAGTGCAAGTGTGGTCGATGGGAGGCAGGTCGTAGGGGAACTTTGTCCGAGTTTTTGGGAAAAATTCATTCAAAACAATGTTAAATTGGAAAAAAGACATGAAAATCAGTAGATGCGCAGCGAAAATGATCTCAAGGAAAATGAAAAATCGAAAAAAAAAATTTAGAAAATTCGATCTCGCTATGACCTTGCTGCGTACAAAATAAGCAATGGTTCTTTAAGTGGTCACTAAAAACTTCCCTCCAGTGATCACTTAGATAATTCCCTCAAAAAGCGACGGTTCCGTTCGTCTCCCGCGAGGTTCATTGCACAAAAAGTGAGCAGAAAAAAGTTCTCAGTGCGAAAAATCAGTTGATGCGCAGCGAAAAATGAGGATACGGATTGGCACAAAATAATTTATAAATCGAAAAAATTTTGAAAAAATTCCGAGTGTAGATGAGCTCACAAATAAGTAAAGTTTTTTAGTTTTCAAAAAATTTTTCGGATAAAAGTTGTTCGAACTTAAGAGAATTTCAATTTTCGAGAATCTGGGCAGTGAAAAAAATGAAAATCAAGTACAAACTGCACACAAAATCTTTCAAAATCAAACTTTTTTTTTTCTGAACTTATGGCTTCTGAATGATCCTGAATTTCAGAAAACCCTTCAAAAATCATGAAATTTTTGAGAGCCTAGATACTGAAAGTTAAAGATCGAGATCAAAATCCAATCCAAATGCGATATTTTTTCAATTTTTGTAGTGTTTATGACTTGTAAATGATCCTGAATTTCATGAACCCCTTCAAAAATCGCTTGAAAAAATCGTCAACAGAAAGAATCATCATGAAATCATGTGAAAAGAGCGGTTTTTCTGTTTTGTATAGGTCCAGATCAAAATACACTCAGAATACTTTGAAATCTTTCAACTCTTGGAAAAAAATACGGGTTTTGAAAGTCTCTGAATTTCATGAACCTCTTCAGAAATCGCTAAAAAATATCGTCAACAGGAGGAAAAGCATGTAAAGAGGGCGGTTTTGTGTTGCGGTTGTAACGCCTCCCACTCTCCTCCTAAACATATTGTAAAAACGCTTGAAAAAATAGTTCCTTGCTGCCAACGAACATTTTCCTGATAAATGATCTTCCTGGCTGTTCAGTTGATCTCACTGATATCTCAGCATCTTCAAAAGTCTCTGGGAAACATGAGAAAACTCAAAAAATCGGGAAAAAATACAAATAAAGTTGAAAATTCCAGTTCATACAAAACTGTCTAACCTGTCTGCGCTCTCTTTTCTCTCACCTACCAGATAGTGGGAAAGAAGAAGGGCGCAGAGAAAAAAAGCCAGAAACTGAATTTAAGCATGAAAATCTAAAAATGTCAGAGATTTACGAAATCTCAAAAATTAACGAAAGAAGATCAATACAAAAAAATTGAGAAAAAAATGAAAAAAATTTATAAATTTTAACTTAAAAAAATCTCCAATAATCAAAGAAATAACCAAGGAAAAAAAGGAAAAATTGTTCGAAAATCCAGATCAAAGCATCAAAAAAATTGAGTAGAAAGCTTCAGAAATCTCGATAAATTCAAAAATTCGAATTTTTAGCCATGGAGCGACCCTGTTTTAGAAAAAAAGGCTATTTTTTCAATTTTTTTTTCTTTGCTTTAAAAACCGCTTATTAGTGATTTTTTTTTCCTACGCTCAAAAATAATAGAAAACCACGATAAACTCTCAAGAATCCACTGAAAATCTTCAAAATGAACCAAAAACGACCTTCGATTCAGTACAAAAACAGAGCGCGATAAAAATCAAAGGGCAAAATGGTACGAAGACCACGGACGCCATGGGTCTCCGGTATCTGCCCGTAACATCTGAGTCATCGGACGGAAATTAGCGCGCGGCTCGGGAGGAGAAACAAAAAAAAACTCGCGTTGATTTATTTTATGAACAGATTGAGGTTGTGAGAAGGGTCATGATAAGTTGAGGGGGAGGGGGGATTTTTAAAAATCGGGAGGAGAAACAAAAAAACCCGCCGTTGATTTATTTTATGAACAGATTGAGGTTGTGAAAAGGGTCATGATAAAATGAGGAGGGGATTTTTTAAAATCGAGAAAAGTGAGATAAATTTATACCGAGCTAAACAAAAAAATTTGGAAATAAACTTTCAAACAGTTGAAATTTTAGATATTGGAAACCAAGTTAATACAAAAACATCATAAAGCAAAAGATTCAATTCAAAAATCCCCTAAAGAAAAATGAAAAAAAAACAGCCGCGACCTCTCTGAAACAAGTGCGCTCTGTGGCTAAAAAACTGAATCTGAAAATTTAGATATTGGGAAACAAGTTAAGACAAAAACTCTGCTCAAAAATATCCCAAATCAAAAAATTCAATTCAAAAATCACCTAAAGAAAAATGAAAAAACAGCCGCGACCTCTCTGAAACAAGTGCGCTCTGTGGCTAAAAAAAAACTGAGTTTGAAAATTTAGATATTGGGAAACAAGGTAAGACAAAAACGTCACAAATCAAAAAATTCAATTCAAAAATCACCTAAAGAAAAATGAAAAAACAGCCGCGACCTCTCTGAAACAGGTGCGCTCTGTGGCTGAAAACTAAATTCCTCAGTTCTTCTCTTCTTTTATACCAAAAATTTTTATATATTTCGCATAAGAACCATTAAAAATGAACAAACATCCATCAAAATCATTAAGCCGTGAGAAAAAAAACCAGCAAAATTGGATCAAAAACGAGAAAAAAAATGTCCAAGAAAACGTCAAAAATCATGCGAATCCTGACAAACAGTATGATTTCATTAAATCGTGAATCACCAGAAAATATTTCGAAACGATAATTTGATTAAATGAAGGAGAAATACATGAAATCGGCACCAAAAAACCATATATTTTTCAAAAGTAAAAGAAAAACTCAGTGGAATGAACAGAAAACAAGGTAAAAATAGGCGCGGTCACGGTAATTTGAATGGGAATTTTTCTCTCAAGGACAATATCTCAATCTGAAGGTTATCTATCTTTC